ACGCCCGTAACTAAGAAACAAATGCTAATTCGATGATGCCGGCTGGCACACTGATTCACTATGAATGTAGGCCGCACCCCCTAGCGGTAGAAGCTCGTACTACATCCGGCTCGCCCTCTATTGACACAGTCTTGAAACTTTCCGATCGCACCTCGTACTTATAACACGAATTCCGATTACATCTTACAAAGTTTTTCCGTTGCCTTTTAACGATACAATGTACTTCCTTGTTTAATTACAAAACTCTACCATAAATTCTATCAGATCAGAAAGTAACCTTGCGAAATGGTAAGTCACTAAGCTTACGTGAGATTCCATCTTGCGTTATCATTTGAGATCTGATATTTCCATGAGCTTGAAAGCTTTGATTTTGGTTCTCCGAATTTCAACACCTTGCGGTTTTGTGATTATCAATATTTATGAGAAACTGATATCCTCCACCTTCTACCCCGAATATAAAGTCAGCACGATGCTCTAAAATGTCGGTAACTGCCTACGTGACATGTTGCCACAATCCAGAAGGCCAAAACTCGATTTACGCAATAAAATTATTCTTTTTAATTTACCGAAGTTTATTTAACGACTGTCGTATATTAACAATGAGTGGTCTGTGAATGTAATAGTCGAGTGTTTTAAAGACGGTAATAAGATGATGATTCCAAGACTAAACTATTGTATAATCAAGGATAAATATCTTCCAAATTTTAACGCATTTTTAGCTTTTAATAGCGGCGTCTGACCGCCACGGTGGTCTAGCGGTTAGAACGTTGGCCTTGTAATCCTGGGGTCTCGGGTTCGATTCCCGGCGGTGCCCGAATTTATAACTTGTGTTGGGCAAGGCCGTGGTCTAGGAAACACGGAGTTTTCCTCCGGGGGCTTCCCCGGTTTAATAATAATAATAATAATAATAATAATAATAATAGCGGCGTAAATCAGATTTTCATTTAAATGAAAACATAATTCGTGTTTATAGATTTGGCTAAGACCTTATTTACGTTTGAAGAAGAACATTATATGCTCCACATGTCACACAGTGGCGTGATATCTGCATTAACAGTAACTCTGATGTAGTATAATAATATATGATACGTGGTTTCCACGGAAGACAGCCATCTTCGTGCAATAATATGCGTTCATAACAAGCAATATGTCAACTTTTACTTTTGTGACCCACACCTGTAAATGGAAACTTCACAGTCTGACCATTTCTAAATTCCAAAGTCACTGGCCATTAAAGGTTCTCGTCTTTCGTTCTGTTTGCATTCCTTTTATTCACCTGTCAGACAAGCCGCCTGCCTACGCGAAGCAAGTTCCGCTAGTTTCTACTAGCGCAGAAAATTCTTCCTAGTTAGCCGATCAAAACCGGTTTTGTTAATCGATTCTTAGCCTGTGTCTAGAGCTCTGTCGAGTATTTTGTGTACTACTGTACCATCCTCCACTTCATATTCGGGAGGTCACGGGTTCAAATCTCGGTCCGGAGACCGGCTACCCTAACTTGTGTTTTTCGTGGTTTACCTCAGTCCCTCCATGCAAATACCGGGAGAGTTATTTAAATTAAGCCACGGCCGCTTTCTTACACATACTTTCCAATTCATTATTCACTATCATTATCGTATTCGAAGTTATATGGTCTGAGCTACTGAAAAGTGTCGTTAAATAAACGAAAATATATAAATAAATGTGTACTATCCTGTGCAAAGAATGGTTACAGCTAATTCCACAAATAATTTGTCCACTCAACTGTTTATTCCACAACATGTTTCGATCCAAGATGGATACTAGAATACTATTGATTGACAGAACTGTTTGAATATTAGAATCACATTAAAATACTTCAAACGATTAAAATTTATTGACACAGATCAGAAACCGTTTAAAATTAAAGTACTTCAACAATATTTCTCAGTGTAAATACATTTCAATCATCTCAACTAGTTTCACGTAATTTAATATTCACACAGTTGTCAGTCAATAGCGTCCTAAACATAAATCTATCTGAAGATAGTCCATATTGGATCGAAACATGTGAAATAAGCCAATGAATGGGCAAAACTAAATAAAATAGCAGGGTGGACGGACTTGCGTTATTTGATTAAAACCACCACACAGCATGATGACTTTAAGGATGAACACCGCCTAGATTAAGTTTTTGAGGTTATGTGAATAGCCAATAGATTAACGAATCAACTACTAGGTTATGTTAACCTACGCATAATAGGATACTTTATATCTGTTTTGCGAGAAGCATGATTGGCCAAGTTCTCAGTACTGACGCCAGATGGCAGAGTGTTCTATTTTACGTGTGTTGTTTCTACAAGGCACGTATAGAATGACCTACGTCCAAGGGCATGAAAGGGATGAAGATAAGGCTGTCAGGATTGAAGGAATGGAGGTGGATATTATGGCGATAATGAAGGAATCATTCCTCAATGACTGAAGTTTCAACAAATTGTCTTCATTGTTAGTCTAAAAACAGGTAAATGTGGTCCTAGGTCTTAATAAAGTTTACAACCAGCACGTACAATAGAAAATGAAGTTTTGGGAAGTGCAACGTCGAATCAGTTCTCATGTCTGCCCTAGAATTACGATCTTATTTAGACAAATCTGATTTCAGAATAGGCCTACAGTAAATGTATTAGGGCGTAAAGTCTTCACAGATTATAAATCCTTCTAAGTAGGACTTCCCTGGTGGGGGATCGGCCAAACATGAGGCCTCTATTTGCTTAATTGCTCATACAGGCAGAACACAGCAAAAAGCTTAAGAACATTCATACCTCTATAAATACACAAACAGCCGAGCCATTAGTACGCGGACGTAGTGGGTTTGAAGTTGAGATAGCTGTTGAAAAGTTTAAAGACGCCAATCGCAAGACATTGACTAAATTTCAGCAGAATTTATCCATGCAGGACCAGGCTCTGATATTCACTTGCTAATTTAATTGTATTTTAAATAAAGAAGAATTGACAAGAGTGGTCTATGGGATCTGTAATGCACGTATTTAAAAGAAGGGTATAAAATCCACAGTAGTAATTATGGATAAATATAAAATATACGCAAAGTTTTGTATACGATATTCCTCTTTAAAACTAACTCCATATGTATGCAAAGCTACTGGGAACATCAGTGTGGATTTTAATGTAATGAATCAATAACACATAAAAATTCTGTATTCGTAAAATTCTGACGAATGCAGATTAGAATGGGACCGTATATACTTCAAAACAACGTATGATTCAGTTAGGAGAGAAGTGTTGTGAAGCAGTCTTACTGAAATAAATATCTGCATGAAACTGGATAGGCTAATTAAGTATTTAATCGAAATCCTTTTTTGTGATGAATTTCCTATTCAAATTTGCCTGAAACACGGAGATGATTTATGACTATTATTTTTCAGATTTGCTTTAGAACAGTGCTACTCAAAGTGATCGTGAGAACTTGAACGCCGCCCAACGGCCAAAACTGGAAACACGAAAATTAACCAGAATATAATGCAATTGTATTCTCCAAGAACTCAGAAAATGGTTATTTTTCAGATAGCGGAAGTTTCTGTGACACGTCACGTGCCTACCGCTTGAACCCCAGGTTAAATGAAAGTACATGAAAGTGACACCAGATGACTTACAGTGCAAACAAAGTAAAAAGAAAAACAATGGCGCAGCAAAATACGCAAACTGAATTCAGTGGTGCGTGTTATATTAATAAATAACAGGTTTAGTCGATGTTTGTATCTGAAAAAATAATCAGTTATGAGCATGTGCTGGTAATATAAATTAAATATTTTGAACGAAAATGAGTATTACTTCTTTGTAACAAGATAAACAATTTAGAGTAAGAATTATGTTGCATGCGTCTTCCATATTGTTTTTACAAACTCTGGTATCTCATGATCAGATTATCCTTTTAGTAGAAATAGGCTAATGGCCTTGTGTGGCCTTGAGGACTTGCTACGAAGGCCAATTGAGCATCGTGGAACGGGTGAAGGAGAGAAATGAAGCATGAATAGCGAAGGAAACACGACACGTGAAATTCCTGCTCGTATTTCGAACATCACCACCTTAACTTTCCCACGGCCATTTGTGACAACAAACAGAACTGATGCTTTGAACTGGTGTCCTAGGTTATGACATCATGTGGTCTTGTAGGTGGTTATCTACGCCTCGTCTACCTTCCTTCATATTTTTACATCTATACAAGGATCACGAGAACATGAAAATAATAGTTATACAATTTACTGACACGTCATGAACATATAAATTTATACATATTCTTACTTTAAATTGGCTAGATATCCCCCCCCCCCAC